GGTGAATTGATGGCAGGAAGATTGCTTTGATCGGCCCATTTGAACTTTCATGCCCGCTAAAAGATAGCAGACAAGAAAGTACATTCTTGATCTATCCATTGAGATTGTAATAGTCGGATGAAATGAAATACATAACTGAAACTTAACACATCTACCTTTAACAAATGCAATGTAGATTTGAAAGCACTTATCATCTCTGCCACAATTTAATCGAAATAAACTTAATACTGATCTTAATGAATTGTATATAAATTATTCCTCTAATCGTCATGTGAAAGTGTGAAAGTCGAACTTTAAGATTCTTTCAATGTTCAATTCTATCTATTTTTGTTCTTGGTTTGAATATATCAACTAAGATTAAAAAAAAAAAACAATAAAAATTGAATCAAATATGTTATGAAAGCTCGGTAGGGTCTGCTTTATAGGATATATTACCTGCTGAATCTTACTTACTGGCATCGTGGGATTGCGGGCTACTAATTAGGTTTTGCTTCTGTTGTTTAAATTTTTCTTTTATTAAGTGCTTAACTCTGCCCTACACTTCTTCTCGCCAAAGTCCGTGTAATAATCTTAGCTGGAAACAGCTCCTTCTTTGTACAATTTTCATATATTTATGTATTCTTGTCAGCGAGAATTCAAGATTCATCCTAAGGCAAGCCTGATTGTATGAGTTTTGGCAAATATTTCGGTAATTTTGTCATCAACTGTATGATAACTTGTGTTTTTTATACTGATTGTCTTCCAGTTAATGTATAAAAAAAAAACCTATCCTTCGTTTCTCTCCTTATTTCGTATTTTTGTGGTCAAACCGTTTAAAACCATTTGTCTTAATGCATTTTGAGTTTAAGAGGGAAGTGAACGTTATAAAAATGTCAAAGTAAAAGTAATATATAAATCAAACATAAAGTTTTAAACAGTTTTAAGGTTTTTGGTTGTTGTTGTTGTTGTTATTATTGTTTTTTTTTTTTTTTTTAATAGTTCTTATTTCAGTAGTTGTCAAAAAGAAGGTTAGTATTAATTGCAAAGAGTTTGAAATTTTGTTTTTGTGTTACAAGTTAAAGAAATTTTCGCTTTTCTATTATAAGATTCGTACAACTAGATCGTGGATATTTTGGTTAAGCGAAATACACTTCAAAGTTATTTTATTTACAATTATATTTCTTTAAATATAGGATTATTCGCAATTTATTTTTGGCAATACTTTCAACGGCTCAACTCTAAATCCTCTTTCTACTGCCTCTCCCTTCCTTTATAGCTTCATTTTTAATTCGTTAAGCTGCTTTTCTGGTACTCGTCTTCCTCGGCCGGCAGCTGCATGACGCGCTGCGTATGTGCACTTGGTTTTTCCGTCTTTAGGGATTTTATTACTTAGCTGGAATGAACTGGATTTGGGATTTCCGTAACAATATTTTTCGTTAAATTTAAATAAGAAAGAAACAGATAGCTAACCGATAAAAAGTCGAAAGCACACGAAATATTTTACGTTTACGCTTACGACACATAGAGATGTGTGCATATGAAATCGCAATTTTGCTACAAAAAAAACAAATCTACTGCTTAATTATTGCCTACAGCTAGCTATATGTTTCGTTATACTGGTCTGATAATTGGTAGATGCCACAATCTTCTGGTCCCGTAGAAACGCAGAGTACCATCTTACCACCAAAGGGATTCATTTTCGCAGTTGATAAGGAGGATAAGAATTTATCTATGAATTAGACGCACTTTTAAAGACTTTCTTTTGCAGAGTTCGTACACAAAACTCGATATTTTCGTTGTTGGAAAAAGTATTTGGGAGCTGCGATATGTGGTGGTAGATGTCCAAGCTATAAAAAACACAACTTCAGGCATTGTCCTCTGCGTGGAGTGCTAGGGCCATTCACAAGCAAATTCCGATTACATATTTACATAGCTTGTATTCTTTTTCATTAATTGATATGTTTATAAACATGTATAAAATCATAAAAATGTGTTATATTTGTATTCATAATTAATTTTATATGTATATATAATTGAATTTTTATTTCTATTTACACATATGCAGTGTTTAATTTCCGCTATCCCGACGTTATTCTTTTCCTTCAACTATTTTAAATATATATATATATATATATAGTTGTGCAGTTACTAATAAAAATTGTACTCAATTCCTTAAATCGAAAATCAGACTAGTCAGCTCAAAATTGTCATTCAAATTTTGTTTTTTTTTTTTAAATCTATCGATTAGTCCACATTACTTTGTGAGCTAAGCTTTAATGTCCCTAACCGCACTTTACGTTCATTAAGCTGAGTCAATGTAAATGAAATCATGAGCTGTTTAACCCGTTTAGGGTTGTTTGCAGAAACCTAAATAACATCTATCACCTAATATCGATATCGATTTCTTCAAGGTCTATCTAAACAACTTTGCTTAATACGCGCGATTTGCTTATGTCGTATTTAAATGAACTTTTAATCTTAATATCTCATTATGATTCGAAAATTAATTGGTGTTGATCACTGTATCGGTTGTCAAGCTTTCGCATCTTTGCTATGGCTTAGGGGTTCACTTGCAATTTGGTTGATGGGTGTTTGGTTCTGTGCCAGTTGTGCACTTTTTTCTTTTTTTTTCTTTCTTTTATCTTTTTTATTTATTTATACATGAATTATCATTTAATTGTTATTTTTATTTTATTTTTTTTTCTTATATAAGATTTACTTCTAAGAGCCAATTAAAGTCGTTATTTTATTTTAGTTGAGTTTCATGTGTAAATAAATAAAAAATAAATAAATGAATTAAAAAAAAAAAAATCCTTTTAGTAGGATTCTACGAGAGACATTTTCTAAGAGAAATAAGGAACATGTCAACATACCATGCAATACAGCAGAAGGCAAGGCAATTTATAGACGATTGAGATAAAGTAATAAAAATCAGTCGATATAATCAGTAACAGTAATAATATGAAAGTAACCTTTAATCTTTCAATTAGTTGCCGCACCATCGGTGATAATATCATTAAATGAATATTTTGCTTTCAATCAGATAGTGCTGCATCGATTTGATAGAAGTGTAAATTATATTAATTTATTAAAAATTAATATTTGTTTGAGCAGGAAATTTCAAAGGAAATTACTACACTTTTGTGCATTGATGTAAAATAATCGATATTGTTCATAATTTAATAAAAAACGTGAAAGTACTTTGAGGTTGTTGTAATTTTTACATTGATTTTACGACAAAATTTAATTTGCTAATATAACGAAAACGTTGTATCCTTTTTACATACAAAAAAAAAAGAAGAAAAACACATAAATAAAAAAGTAATGTAAATAAAATAAAAAAATTATCAGACAATGTAAATAAACGTGTAAATGTACGCATATAATAGCAGTAGTAATCGACTGATTTGTTGAATTATGTTTCCATAAAAAACACATGTATGTGTAAATAAGAGAAAGCTTAGACAGTCAATGCCATGTTTTCCATATTGACAAGTCAGAGAATCATATTCGCAATGCCACTGACTGAATCTATTGCACACCCACATTTATCTTTAAAAACAAAAACAAAAAAAAAACAACAATTCAATAAACATTCCACGAACGACTAAAACTGTGTAGATAGATAGAGGATCGAACCTTTCTTACCTTGCCATATCGGTCTCCTTCAGCCTATAATTTTGTGTAGCAAACTCTAAAATTTTTATCGTGTTTTCGCAGTTTATGAGTAATGATATACGGAGCATCCTTTTGTGTCACACTTTAGTTCTCTAGTGCAACCCTGATGGTCGCCAAAATTTCGCTTAAGAGCTATAGTTTTTTGATAAACAAAAAGGACTCAAATGTAGGCACCTATGCTCATTCCATGTTTCCAAAAAAAAAAAAAAATAAAAAATAACAAAAAAAATTGAACAAAAATAATCCGGGAAAATTTAAGTAGATTGTAGTCGCACTTGGCATTCTAATGTCAGTTTTATCAGCATTTTCTTACACATATCAAAATTTTATTTCTTTTTAAATCAAATAACTTAAATTTTATAAAATCTATTTCCAATAAAATAGCTTAGAGCGAAGCAGAAAACAACATCAACAGCAGACGTGGCAATTTTTATATTGATTCTTTTTTCAAATACTTTCGTTTCGTTTCAGTGTGCATGTATAAATATACATATGAAGAGTGTGTGTGTGTATGCATCTCGTACCCTCTGCTTTCATCATTTAATAATTCAAACCACATTTGCCACAAATTTAACCGCCAGAGGCTTATATATGTTTACTTTATATATATGTATATATACGTACATACATATATATATATATATATGTGACAGCTGGTTTAGGTGAAAAAGTTGAAAAGAAAAGAAAAAAAATGTAAAAAAATGAAAAAAAAAAGACTGACACATATTCCGGGCATATGAAAATTCTTTCTTACAAAGAGTAAGAGTTCTGAGAGTACGTTGAAAAACTGAAATATAATATAATACACAGGTTCAGCACATACATGCATAGTGACAGCAGGCCGCTATGCGTGATTTTTATGCAAATATTGAAAATACCGTTTATAAGCCTTAAGATGTTTGCCAAGCATATGTTCCCATGTATATAAACATTCATATAAAAAGCCAATATCGATTTAAAAAAAAAAAAAAAAAAAAAAAAAACTAGTTAGGCAAACAGAAATTAATAATCCACGCGACATTCGCAGAAAATGGTGACGCCTATACGTACTATTTAGAAAAATGAGAGAATTTCAAACAAATGCGAAAGCATTAGGAATTGTATTCGAATCTTGTACTTTGATTTTAAACATTGCATAAAACGTTATTCAACTGTTATAATACATACATATATATAACAGAAGGATTCATCTACAAGCTATAAATTTTCTATATTTGTTAAGGCAGAATTTTGTAAACTTCTTTCTGTTCTTTTATAACAATTGCTTGAATAACCCATAGTCGTAACCCTTCATGCTTGATAAGCTAATGTATATTCTTATGCAAATTTATGTTAAAACGTACCCGCCACTTGCAAGGTAGCATTACGTGAACGCGCTACACCCAGCTCATTTTTAGCCTCACACCAGTACACGCCGGCATCCGTTTCACGTTTTGAATTCACAACCTGAAAGTAAAAATAAGGAAATAGTAGTAAAAATAATATAAATAAAACTTGTATCAAAATAAACATTTTTCCATTAAGGGTTAAAGGATATGTTTTTTTTTTTTTTTCTTCTCTCATTTCCCTTAACATAAAAAGGAACGAAGAAGTAGGTTTTTTTTTGAAAAAAAAAAATACATCTAAGGTTTATTCAAGTCCTAAAAGCGTCGATGTGTACACATATAGAAATGCATAGCTATTTTGGTATTTAATAAAAATTAAACTTCTTCAGATTCATCGAGCAAAGAGTTTAGTTTAAGAACCAATTCAAGTTCGCTCTATAGCGAGCACATATATGTTGCTTTGGCTCTAGTACCGAATTGAAATTAATATTGAAATTTTACACAAGACCGTGAGTTTCTTTCAACTTTCCTTACTTTTCCTAACTCACTCACCAACTATTAAGACCTATTTTCAACTCTACAAAATAGCAAAGCAGTGTAAGGGTGTGCTTTCTCATGAACACCCTTAATGTGTTTTTGGTTGAAATTGGGAAAGAGAGTTTTTGAATTTTGAATTATTCCTTAGAGGTTTATTGATGTTTAGCTTTATCGATAAAATATTAAATCAGTTTAATGTGTTCTTAGTATTCCAGTGGGAGGGCAAAAATGCCAAAAATGACAAAATAAAATCAAATAAATGAAACGGTAAACGAAAAGTAAAAAGTTCTCTATTACCAAATAAAAAGGAAATTCTGTTCGTCTTAGATCAATCCATAATGCAATATATAATATAGTAAGTAAATTATGTTCTTGAATACTCATAACTTTGAATTCATATTTTAGTTGCCGTGATGTGTTATTAATAAACCAATCGGCGCATCGTCTACAACGAATTTTTAATACCTTCTTGGCCTAACTGTTAAGAAATAAATGTCAATAACAGATCGATGAGGGTTGGACACATCATTACACTTGAATATCGTGGCTTACTAAAAAATTTTAGCGTGTACTGAAATCGGTGCACAAGGTTAGCAACGTATTATACTTCTTTAACAATTTGTGTGCAATTTTCGATTAGTATGTGTGCTCTGCTAAAAATTATATTAAATTATTTTCTTTTCGCATACAATCCGGGACTTGCGGCGGGTGTCTTGCCAATGGATCATCGATTTGCATGTAAAGGAATATATAAACAAAACCATTGATTTGTCCTTCCATATCATCCAAAAATACCAACTAGAGATCCTATAAAGTATAGATAATCTTAACTCTGAATTCTAAGTCAACTTGATTCTGTGCCTCTTGCTATCCATTTTTTAACCGCTCATCTTTGCAGCAATTCACTTAAAAAGTAAAAATTTGACCTATGCATTGCTGATTCATGGCCATAGATTACAGATCAAAGTTGTCAAGTGATATAGAATCTTTTACAATCTTGTCCTCGGTAGACGAAACTTTAACTTACAAATTCTCGCACATAGTAATGTGATCCTAGTTAGCACCTAAGGTTATAGTGAAAAGCTGTGGTATATTTCGGGCGAGGCTACGGTACGCAAACAATTCTAATTTGCAGTCTTTAAGACATACCGGCCGGTTGAAACGGTGAAAAGATCGCGTATAGGTTGAACAAAGTAAACTCTGTGATTAATTTTCACGTCCACGGAGAACATTTTGCAAACCTCTTGCGTTACTTTAAAGATTTTTTCTTTTCCTAATGCAAACTCTCATTGCATCTGCTACGGTGTTAGATTTGTGTAAACTGAGTAACTAAATATTTTCAGTTTGCATTAGTTTCCATGCAGTTATGTTATGTCGACTTTATTTATTGGTTATTGCATGACTGCTTTTCTGGGTAATTAAATTTAATATGTTGAGATTAAATGTGAAAAGCACAAATTTTTTTTATTTAAATTTTAGAAATTTTTTACAGGCACAATCTTAAACTTCAGCACCAATTCTTGAAGATTCTTAATTAAAGGAGGCATTTTTAGATAACAGAGTTTGCAAATATTACGATACTAAGTTCGGGCGAACCAGTTCTGGGTTAAATAATTAGAAGAAGAGAAATAAAATTGTAGTAAAAAGATATTTATGTATGAGAGAACAAATCTCTTCAAGTTCTAAAGCTAACTTTAATGAGGCATTTGTTGGAAGGCAAATGATAGTTTTCGTAAGAGCATGACTTCTACTAGTAACTGCGGAACAACTAAAAAAGCGCATTCACGACTGAAATATAAATATTTATTAAAGAACGTCATTTACCTTACATTATCTTCAAGGAGAAAGATTGGAAGCTTTCCAAGTTGTAAGCTTGATAAGAGTATATAAATGAAAGGTGTTAATCAGCGCTTCTAAGAAAGTGGAAGAAGCTTCTTGAGTTTTAGGGCGCTAGTCCTTCCTAAAAAGCAAGAATAGCGTAAAAGGTCTGAGATATATGCTAGACAAGCCCTACGTAGTGCTTTGATTTTTAATTTTCTAATTATTTCGGGACACAGCTAGCACAAACCTCCTCAAAGAGCCGACCCGAGCTATAAGGATGGAGTAGCCGAGTACTGAGATGGCAGCCAGTAACCACGCGCTCAACTTGGCTACTACTTCTTAGTTTTCTAATCCTGATAATCTTATCAAATCGGAGAGCTCAACAGTAATGTGACTATATAAACAAAATACATTTTTGGAAAACAAGAGACTTATTTCGAACCACCCCGTCATCGCAAAATGGCTTAATATCTCATTCACTTGGCTCAGTTTTCTAATGGTCCACCGCTATTAGGTCGTAATACTATTCTATAGCTAGTAGAAGCGATAGGTTAAGCGCTTTGGTGATTCCTTGCTTGTTGTTACAATTCTATTCTCTATTATCATAGGAAAAGTTGAACTTGTAGAAACTAACTACCTTTCAAGGTGCATAGGTCATAGTGTTAATCTTTTGTCAACTGCAACGGGCATAACAATGCCATACCCAGCTTCAAGTTATCGACCAGATAGTTAAATCTTTTCCGCTTATTACCATCTATCCCTTTAACATAATTTTTGAATCGTTTGTTATTAACTAATCATGTGAAATGTTTACAATCGATTATCTTCATTACGATAGACTCTTCACTTAGTTGAGGTTAATTTTGTTGTTGTTCAATTAAATTGCACGCGCTTTCTTCGTCTTTTCACAAAACTTAGGTGCAAGATTTGATGTTATTAGTGCTTTTTTGTTCCCAATGAGCTTTAATAAAACACTCCAAAGTGGGAGATTGAATGCAGTCTTAAGAAAGCAATCTAAACATTTCTGCAGAGGCTAGAAAAGTCGGCCAACATTGGTAAATTCTCAATTTATTGTTTTCAATTTTGAATTAAATATCTTTTGAGAATTTTGTACAAAATGTTATTTATTTGTATTTATTTACAGATTGCTTTTTGTACAATAAATATTTTTCGTTATACATTTACGTAAAGTGACAGAAAATCTATTTAAATTTAACTAACGTCTTGAATGCTCCTCTCGCAAAGACCCACATTCTCAATTTTCTACAACCACAACCACAATTACATTCTCTAGTGTTTTCCTTCCAAGTGAAATGTGAAATATTTGCTACTGGCAGAACCGAGTTGTAATTCCATTTGATATTTCCATATGGCAGCACACAATTTAGTTAGCAACTTGAATATTACATATATATAAATGTATTTTTGTTGCACATGTATAAACACACATACGCATATACCCATAAAGATTGCACGCACTTACATCGATCCCAAACTGAACAAATGCATACAGCGTATAAAATGAAAAGCACAGCTATTTGATTTTATTATTAAATGACGTAGAACGTACTGAGCGCCAGTGTTGTTGATGTGAAAATGATGTTTAGTGAATATATATACCACATATATATAAAGTTAAAGTACATTATTCAGAAATAACAATTTTAAAGCCTTTTACCATTTTTTTAAGTTTCTTCTAAACAAAACTGAAACCTTAAACATGAAACCTTAAACAAATAGGCGGGAAAAGACGTAAGTTCTCTTAAATAAAATTCTGCCTACGTTTGTCATTTTAGAAGCTTTACTTTATTAGTTTTTTATTGTGCTAGAAAGAGAGCACTACGTATATTAAAACATTTGTGCATTGATAAACTCAACACACACAATAATTATCCAAATGTGTTTGCAACATTTTATTTGCTTAGCAATGCGACATATCCTTTATACAATGACTTGTTTGTTTGCTTATGTATTTAGGTTTGGCTCATGTCCTTTAAAAAGATAATGTTTTGCTTTTCCCAATTTAATTTTTAAACAATTTCCACATGACATGTGTGTATTATATGCTTTGCCCACATCCTCTTCCTTTATCAAAAGAGCTTTGAAAAAAAAAAAAAACTCTTTTATTTTATTTATTTTTATTATTATCATTAATGTGCAGCTGTTCATGTTGACACACACTTTCAAAGCGATAGCAAGTTTTTGCTGAATATGGTTTTTCTTAGCTTTTCTGTTTTTATATCTGAAAGTTAAGAGATACGGTATATTTTTTCTTTTACTTTCCTTGTAACGGTATAGAACAGGTTTACTGTATATAAATATTATATAAAGATCCATAGTATATCACTTAATAAATTCGTAGGGTCACTGGATAAATAAAAATTTTTAGACAAAGTTCGACTTTATTAATTAACGTAATCTCCTTCAAGGGTAACACCTTCTTCTGCTTTTTTTTTCTTCTCTTTCCATTCACGACCATTGCTATGCCTTATGGGACGCATAGTCTAGTTTCGGCAATCTTCATTGGAGCCATAACTCCCTTCGATAAATCAATTTTTGAGGTTCGCAAACATATAACAGTCACTTGGGGCCAAATCGTGAGCATGCAATTCGTGCAATTTTGTCATTGCCACGGCCGACTTGCGGCACAACGCTTTGTTTTCGTGAAGGGCCATTTTTGTTCTTTCTTTCAAATCTAGGTATCATGACACTCTTCACATTTTTGGCTGAAAATTGGTACTATCCGAAAATCATATGGAGTTG